ATACCAGTTAACGATACTTAGATACGAAATTTCACAAAACGGAGTGTATTAACAGAAAGAGCACTAAAAACTGTTTGATGATACCTATTATAAAAGTAATTTTTCTATTTTTGCCGACTTATCTAGTATTGGCTGTGAATACTCGACACAATCTATTATTATCAGTTAAGCTTATGCCCCAATAATTGTTTGACAGAAGTTGCTATTGTATATATTTTTTGAGAACTTGGAAATATCCAGGGGGGGCAACTGCCCCCTTTGCCTCCCCTTGCCGGCGCCTATGACCAGTGTGTTTTGCATATGTGACGGAAAATTTTGGACTAGAAACGTTGATTTTTCTGTAAATCTATTAAAATTACTGGCAGTACCCCAGATTTGAATGTTCCCAGCTAAAATCATTCATAAACTGATACATCTTTCTGTAAATTAGTTCAAAATTAAATTGTTTGGTTTGAATATGTATTTCTCCCACCCAATTTAGATAATATCAATTTTCATGGTTCCTTTATGCATTGATACACTAGGAACATATTCTTTTCTTATTGTAAATGTAACTTTTGCATATTAGAAGCAATTAAATCTTAATTAAAACTACATTTTTTTATTATTAATTAGTACACATATTCATAAAATTAAGGCATATATATTTTATGTTATTGTAAATTTTAGTTTAGATTTATTTATTTTTTTAATTATATACTTATTTATATTTATTAACTTATTTTTCAATTTCATTAATTCCTTTTTAGAAAAACAATCTCTTAATATTTTATAAAAGAATTTAGAACGTATTCTCATATGACCACCCTGTAGGATCAATAACTTCTTAGTAGTTAGACTTTCAATCAAAGTGTGGCGCTGCGTGTCCATGAGCCAACGTATAATTATTGCAAAACACTTAAATACTAAAATACCCGGCGTAGATTTGATCAACAATCATTCCACGGATTCTCAAATTATCATTAAAGTTTTTTTAATACAGGGTAGCGTGGAAATGTTGATTATGTTTTAAGTGGATGCTTTTTTTTAGATTAACAGTAGTTGATTGATCGTTTTTTTATTAATTTCTTGTAGTTCAATGTGTCGAGCGCATAAGTATTAAATAACCACGTGAATTTTTCGGTGATTTACATTTTTGATATATTACAGGATTCTTTTGATAAGATTGAAAAACATCTTTAAATTTACCCAAATGTAAATTCTTAAATATAGAAAAGTCCATTATAAAGAATATCCAATAGAGTTTGGCGATATTTCACAAACGGTTATTTTATTTTTATTTTGATATTATTTACATTTATATTTTTCTAGCGATTTTATTAAAGTTTTATAGAAAAATATTACAGAATATTTAATTTGGTAACGAATTGAATTTTACTACATCAGTAAAGATTCAAAGTGTGACTAAAAAACACGGTATCGTCCAACTCTCTCTGAAACAGGGTTGACAGGTTTTTTGCACCTAGGTTTTTTTAGGTTTTTTAAAAGCCTAAAAGTGAAAATTCTGTAAGTTTAGGTTTTTTAAGATAACTATTAAGAATTCCCAATTTTATTAATCAATTCTTAAAAGAAAGGGTGCAAAAATTAATGTATATAAAAATAAATACAAATATTTTATCAAACGTTATACCTACCACTGGAAGTTTTTGATATTAATATTATTGATAGTGTCAAAAAAAATATAATTTATTTATTTTTTACTTTTTTGTTTGCGGAATGTGATTTTTTTAATCAATCAATTTTTCAAGGTTTGCTTGTATTTTTTTGATACGGTTGTTTAACTTTATTAATACCTTTTGACATATATGAACTAAAAAACTTAAAAAAAACCTATAAAATCTTAAAAAAACCTAAAAAAATACTTATATATTTTTTAATTCTTAAGTTTTTTCCAACCCTGCTCTGAAATGACGTAGGTAACTATGCAATTATGTCAACACATTTTTTATCCATTTTATTTTTTTTTAAATATTTGACCAATTTTATTTTAATTTTTTTTTTTTTTTTTATTTTAAATTAAATATAAATTAAATATTATAAATCAAATACTTTAAATTGAATCTATTAAGTTAAATACTTTTAATCAAATATTTTAAATTAAATATATCACTTTACTAGAACAGTGACTATAGTAGGAAGTGTAGAAGAATTATGTCAGATATATCTTTTCTTCACCGACATGGATATTAGCTTAATTACGCACAGATTACAGAACGAAAAAGTATGCTATTGCGTTCAACTGGACGAATATTGTGTCATATCCATTCTAGGTAGTGAGAACACTGTAAAAAAATTAAATCCACGAAGCACAGTTCATATTTTGGCCACTGAACTACTATTATTTTTAAAATTTTAAATAAATGACAATTCTGTCAAACTGTCAGTACTTATATCTTTTAGTTATTGAGATTAAATATACATTAAAATGAGTTATTTTTTAGTAGAATCGATACATTTTTTACTTGGTCCACTATTTTAATTACGAGTATTAAAACTAAAATCATCAAAGTGGTCGTGGCCTTCCACGTGAAAATCTCGGGTTTGAATTTGGGCTGGAAAGTAAATTAAATCTTTTTTTTCATGTTTATTTTATTTAATAAATTAGTAAAATTCATAAATTATTTTAAAATTAGTTATTTTGTCTTATTAACCTGAAATAATTTTTTAAATTTGTAGATTTTCGTTAGTGGGTCATAGAAAAGATGTATTGTGCCCCCTTCTGTCGCAAATGCACCAAGGAAATGTCTCAATGCCTATAACGACCCTTCCAATCCTATTTTCTCAAGGAAGTGTAGGATTTGAAGTGGCTTCAAGTTAGGTAAATCTCCCTCTTCTATTTGATATCCTCCTAGATATAGTGCCCTTGGATTCTGGAGTGCTACACATTCAGTTAGGATGTGAATGAAGGTTTCGTCCTCCTCCTCACAGAATCCTTACGAGCCGAACTATATATAGATATAGGAACGCGGCTACAATGTAGTGGCCTGCCGACATTCGGCTGGGCGGACATGCTCTATCTATATGCCGAAGCTGCACCCGTATATCGGGCCGAGACCGGCATCCGGCAAGCCTCCTTCGGCCCAGTTACGGTGCCGATTAACTGTGTTTATTGGGGAGTGAATTGTCCATATCCACTTTTTTGCACAAACCTTTTTTATAATTATATTAGCATTGTTTTAAATTTATCGAACTGTTTTGAATTTTTTTGCGCTTATATAGTATGATTTGTTGGACATTTAAAACTCAAAACTCCTCAATAAATTTGCAACATGACAATGTCTGTAATGTTTTAATTTAATTTTAGTTGATATGACAGAATTCAATCCCAGAGGACTGTCTTGCGAATGTAGAGTGGAGTTTTCCCCACAAGTCATTTCATTTATTATTTTCTAGATTTGTTGTATTTATTCAAAAAGCAATACAATTAAGTATATATATTTGGTCGAAGTTAAAAACATCATTATTATTTTTAAGAAGCAGAAACCTTTGAACAGAAGATACGTTCAGATTGACAGAAATAACTGAAATAGCCAATGTCTTATGCACAGTGAATACAACTGCGGCTTCTTTAGATTACGCCAATGACGCGACATTATTTTTAATCTGTTTTTTTTTCGATATTAATACATTTTATTTAGAGAACACATTTAATTTTTATGATAGTCCAAACACTGAGAATGTTTATTATCTTAGTGTCAACAAAAGGAGACAACGAGAAGGTGTTTGTTATTTTTACGTTTGGAAATCGTCCTAACGAATGTTCTGTTTACTTTCAATAAAAAAATACTGGCGGTGGGTACAGAAACCGTTGATATATGAACTGATGTAAATATTTCTTTAAAAAAAATCTTCTGAATTAACTCAATAAGTACCTATGTTATTCTGCTGTTAAATTGCAGTTTTTTTTAACAAAAGGTATGTAATTTAGTCTACTAACAGTGACGGGGTTAATTTTATTTATTTGCAAAACTGCTCGGTTTGAAATCGAACTGTCAACAGAATTATACTGTTAAAACGTCAAATTTTACGATTATGACAATTGCAGAATGCTCAATACAAGTATTACTCGATTCTGCGAACTTATTAGTGTTCCTCGTACCTACCTACCTGAATATTTTGCTCCCGTTAAATATACCTACTTTGGTATTGGCCATGTCTTCATAGATAGTGACACCATCACACTAAAACCTCAAGATTTTCATTGAAAGTAGTCTTCTGATGTGCAGTTACTATTTTGTTTTGGTGTTGGCAATTTAATTTTTTTTTCTTTTGATAACATATTTTGATTCTTTTTTAGAACAATGCCAATTCATCAATTTATTGTATTTGAATGATGATGTTCTCCTGATCAATTTTGTTAGCATACAGTCTTTTTAATATAAATTTGCAAAAATTCGACGTGTAGAAAATGTTTAATCTAAATTTTCCAAACTTTTTAATGTTTTTTCACAATTTATTGTAGATGAAGCGTTTTGCAATTTTTAAATAAAGTTTTTATTGCTATAATGTAAGTTATGGTTCATTTTAATAAAAAAATTAAGTTGAATAGGTACCTAATTATTTAATTTCTCAGTTCAGCAGTTTAATAATTTAGAGAAAATGAAAACAACATTCCGTATGTCATCTTTTAACATACCTAATCCTTGTGATTAAAACACTTTAGCCATAAGTAACTTTAGAATTCAATTACAAGTTGCAATATAGAAACAACGAAAGAATTAATCTTTACGCAATATATGGGTAAGTTTTTATATGACAAAAAAATTAAATTACTTACACATAAATGTAGTATAATATATTTAATTACGCACTTGTGCAACAAATTAACATAAAAATGTCTTTAAAAATCTATATTAAAATAGATTGGAATTCTCTCTTTAACATTCTATGAAGATAGTCTCTTTTAAATGCGGCAACAAATATTGTGAATTTAGGACCATTGGCTCTTAAAAAATCAGAAGTATACTTGGACAAGGTTATTAAAATAAGAAACCAAAATACGACAGCTATATGTTTTTAATACGCCCGGTAGGCAAATACATATTTTGTTTAACTGTACACTGGATGTTGAATACGCAATAACAAATTACAGTTACAGATATGCTCGAGAAAAAATAAATAAATTAAAAAACTTCCATCCACACTCAAGCAAAATTTGTTAAATCTTACAAGCATTATCCCTTTAGCAGTTTATATTTTTGGTAATGTGGTGAAAATAATTATAATTGGAAAAATTAATAGTCTTTATTTAAGGTGTGGTTGGATGCTTGATTGAGTCAATTACAGCCACTTAGTTGCGCAGAAGTGACTTAAGCTACTTCGATAGAGCTGCCAGATAAGCATATAGGTCATCTGTAATATTTCAGTGAATTTGCAAAATTTTGTATAGTTGAAGAATGGAATCTGCGCAAAAAATTTACCATATTTGACTCTATCTTTAGGAAACTTTCATTACGTTAAAAACAGATTTGATTTAAGTTTTTATCGTATACATTGAATAATTTACGTCGTACCCTCTGGTTATAACATTGTTGGTATATATACAACTATACATTTACAAGCAATTTAGCATATTTACACAGTTATTGCACATTAAATATACATTTTTTTCATAACTAACTTGTATCACCAGTAGAATATTTTAAAGAGGGATTACATCAACTATTTATATGAATAAATTTAAGCAACACGTATTTGACAGTTAGAAGATATGACATTTCGTTTCCCGATCCTCCAGAATTCGAATGAGCATCATTTTAATTGTAATAATCACATTCATATGTTTTGCGCAAAAAAATCACAACTTAAAGAGATCAACTAGGCTAAATTGTATTTACATTTGAGTATTTTCAAGACTGGCTGATAAAATGATAAAACAAAATAAAAATAAATCTCTTATCCAAAAAATAAAAAGAAAATAAAGTGCACAGGCTCTTCTTAATAAATAAGCATACAGAAACTGGCTTCAAAAATTTGTAAAACTATTCTATAATCACATAAAGGAAACTTAACCGATACCTGCTACTAACATCGTTAACAAACTTAAGTCTAGTTGCATAGCTATACCCACATTCCAGCTATACTGGTTGATAGTCTTAAGTTTGCAGACGAAATTAGACCGCCTCCTCTTAATACAGCAAAACATTTCGTTGTGAGCAGCCAGATATAAAAAAAATTAAACAGGATCGATTAAGACAACTGGAGAGTTCATTTTTATTTTTAAATATCCTTTCTTCAAATATCAAAAATGCCCTTTAAATTTACAAAATTCATCTCATGAAATAATACAGGTCTGTCTTTTCCCCCACAGGATAAGTTCGATTATAAAGATAACAAGTGTTGTCTCAGAAATGACTTATTTGGTTTTTGAGAAATTAGTACTTTGATATGATAAATTTAATTAGCCTAAAATAGAAAAGCTAAAGTTATACATTGGTTGGAAATCTAAAACGCAATGAATCTGGGGCCCAGCCGTATGTATGTAAATCAGAGATTCCAGATTTCCAACTTTTAAGCAATGAGACCTACCAGTAGAAGACAAAATGATTTTAAATGTTAACAGTCTCTTTACTATGTACTACCCTTTTGTGTTTCACAGAAATAAAAACAAAATGTTAAAACATTTTTCTTAAAAACCAAACTTTAGATTATAGGACCATTTTGAGAACAGTTTTGTTCTCTCCTGCTTATTTAATAGTGACATAGAAACCTAGACAGACTCGTCTACTGCTACGTTGATAAAACTGAGGGCGTATTTGTAGAAAAAATTTAATTCAAAAATAAAAACTATCATTCCTATTGCTAAGTACTCTAATAGATCACCACCAGAGCGAGAGGGGAATCGCGCTAAAATCCAAAACATTTTTTAAAGGTCACGACAGCTCAGAGTCCCTTGACGATGGATTCGCGTGAAGAGATTCATTTTCGGCATGGATATTCCGCCTGGTCCGCGAGACAAACACTTTGGGACAACCCATCACAGTACATTTGAACATTTCCGATATATGGTGCCTCTCACAATGTTCCTTGAGTTGGAGCGCAGTACTAAAAGCGGTTTTGCACAGTCTACATGGAAGATTTCCCTCCTTATCGGGCGTTGGAAGATCTTCTTCGACGCAATGGATGTATTTGGTGGGTGCGGGGGATAAATTAGTAGGAGGAGGTGAACCTGATAAAGGGGAATTAGAAGTAGAGGAACGTTCTTTGTGACTCGTCGTCGTCATTGACCCATTAAATTGGCTAAAATGATTAAAATTTCCTAATGGAAAAGGAAGACCACCTAATGGTGGTAGCAGCAAAGGAGGGTGAGGTAGTCTATCGCCATTCAGAATTAATTGATCTAGATTTGGGGGAGGTAAATGATGCCCTTTCAAAGCTTCTTCTGCATACAGCCTGGTAAGAAAATCGCCGTGCAGAGCGGGATTCGCTAAAGAAGCAAATGCGGATTTTTCTAAAAACAAACTAGTTGCACTCTTGTCAGAAGTCGTTGAAAGAAGTTTTCTATGCAAATTTAAATTTGCGCTATGCCTATCTCTACTTCTTTTGGAAGGAAATGCAGCATTACAGCCGTCTACATTGCACTTGTGCATCAATTTTAAATGTACATTCTGGTAGTGAGTCTTAACGCCGAAATGGTTTTGAAATATTTTCCCGCAAGCAGTGCACCGTCTTGGATTATCTTTGTCTACTGGTACGTCCATGCCACTAATAAATTGTCCGTTATCAAAATGCCCATACAATTGATGTTGGCTGCTATCATCCGGAGACTCCCTTCCGTTGCTACTTCCACCGGATGAAGTTTGGGAACGAGCAGGACTTGGAGGACCAGTACCCATCATAAAACCCAATGGCGGAAATGCGGGAGGCTGACCTCCTAAACCTAAATGCAGTCCTCTTGCCATCAAATCACTAAAATGACCATGCGACAAACTTTCTAATTGCCTTAATGGATTTGTCGAATCAAATGATTCATCACTTTTGTTACTTTCCATAGAGCTACTAGGCCTCTCCTCCGGCTCTTCTACTGTCTCTGTATCGTGAAATGGTTTCTCTTTTTTTAATTTATCTATAGTAAATAACGGAGCTATACTAGTTTTAATTTCGTTTGAAACCGATTTATCGGTTTCGTTAGCATTCACATCTGGACTTCGCTTCCCTAAATCTAACGGTGAATCATCGCAAACGTCAATATGTTTTTTGGTTTCTACAGGTACTGGCTCAGTATACGAATCATTTTTCTCTTTTTTTTCCTCTTGTTCTTGCTTCACTTGATCGGCTAACCGTTCTGAAAAGACATCGTTAGAAGAATCTCCATCGCTGACAGTATCTTCCATCATTACAGGTACTGCGCATCTGGTCGGGTTTTGATTCTTTCGTTTTCGTTTGCTAACTTGAACACTAGGCTCGTCTTTGAGGCTTTGAGTATCAACAACACTCAAAGAATCTTCGTTACTGTCGATATTACTGGTTATGTCTTCTTCAACATCCGATACGGACATTTTTTGTTTCTTAGCAGGCATAACTAGATCTTCTGGTGCATCTTGGACGTCGTTTTCGTTAGTTCCATTTATTTTGTCCCTCTTATCTTTGTCGAAATCATCATCTTCGTCACCGCCCACGACTACAATACCGTCATCGTCGTCATCATCATCTTCAGATTGATGGTGATGATGATGATGGTGGTGGTGATGATGAAATGAACTGAGTGCAGCATAATCAGGATAAGAAACTTTGCTTTCTTTCATTCGTTGTATACTGAGGTCTAAAGTTTGTTTGAAATCCATTGAAGGTAGTGGATGATATTTCATATCGGGTGGAGGGGTAAGGAGAGGAAATGGCCCGAACGGGTTTAGAGGACTTAAAGCAGCAGCGGAAGGTAGAGGCAATCCAGGCTGTGGAGGAATTAGAATAGGATGAGCTTGTGAACTTCTTCCATCGTGCGGAGATATTTTTCTTCGAAGATGAGGGGAGTGTAATTTTGGATTGGGATTAGCACTGTGCCGGTTCCGCGATCTTCTAGAACTGAACATCATGTTGCATCCCTCGACTGTACATTTATGCATTTCGCGTAAATGTACTGCGGAGAAGTGAATCTTCAAAGCACCTTTGTCGCAAAATGTCTTTAGGCAAACGTTGCATTGAACCCGTTTTTTTCCCGTAGCTGGATTAATAAACTGGGTTCCTAAGTTCAGAGGTAAATTCGGTGAACCCCACGTTCGTTTTGTGGGTGTGGACGGTTTTCTACCCGGTAACATTCGCGATTGCTTAGGAATTTTGTCCTTGGTCAAGTTTAACGCACTGTGCGAGTTTTCATCACCATCATCGTCTTCTTCACTGTTGGTATTTCCGCTGCTCAAAACGTCAGCGCTAGATGGAGATTTGCTTCCTGTTGACATTCGCGTAGACATCAAACCCGGAAAGGAATTGGCCACTAAATTAACAGCGAGATTATTCACAGAAGCAGCCACCATTGCGACAGTGGAGTGACTTAGAGAGGTAGAAGCAGACGGAGGAGGTGGTGGTGGCAGACAGGAAGCCATAGAAGTTCTTGTGAGGTTTAGTCCCATCGATTCGTTATCGGACATCCTTCGACGTTCTGGACTAACGCGATTCGGAGGAAACGCAGCTAATCCTGCTCCCAGCTTTCTAAAATCGAATGGTTGCATGTTTTGTAGCCGATTCAATGGAGACGAGTTTAAAGGAGCGGTGTTAATGCTATTCTGGGACGAATTCGACGAGATTGGTCCATTGGGTGGTAAGCTGATGAAGTTGAGCGAATGCTTCTGATGTGGAGACATCGTCGCAGTGGGTTGCAGTCTTGTGGGATGAAAAGCGGAAGCCGTTAGAGTCGGTGGTGACGGGCGATGGTTTGGTGACATCGCCCGACGTGGGTGAGGTGAATGGTGACGCTCTAGGCGCTCCAGTGTGGGTTCCTGAAGTGCCTGTTGCGCCAGGAGCAGTTGTTGCGTTATGGCTCTAGTTTCGTCGAACCTAAGGAACTGTTGGAGGACCAGAGGTTCCTCCTCAGGAGTACGGAAGCGCCATCGGTCCAGAGTGGTGCCGTGCAGTGGGTATGCTGAAACAAAAACATCGATTTATTATTATTTTATCTAAGTAGATGTAGCTGTAGAGTATTTTTATTTTTTTTTAAATATCTGATGATTTCACGCACAGAAATCGGAGACGAAAGTGGCAAAAGTTTATATAATAAAGATATCAGCGGCCTTTCAATAATAGACCAGTTTGCACGATAGAGAAAATAAATAAGTGAAATGTACGGAGACCGACATCAAATGTTTATTGAGGACGGTGTATAAAAATATACGCGTTTCGATAGCACTCTTGTTTAGAAATGAAGCCTGCAGAATGTCTCCCGCACGTTTATAAATAAACGGGGTGCTAGTGCTAGTCACCTGCCCCTCTCAACTTCAATCTATGGCAAACAAACACGCGTTTCTATTACAAGAGGACGATATTTCGACGTAACCAGGATCGCTTTTCAAACGATAATCAAACTACTATTTATATATGACATTCATTAAACTCTGCCTGTTAGCTGTCTATCGATATAATACGTTTACTTCCAGCTAATAACTATTTACTTTAACGGATATTTACCGTCGCCGTCTATCCAACTATAGTGACATTACGTTGTCTCTATAAAAATTAATAACCTTAAAAATACCTATCAGCGTCCTAAATCTATATACCGGGTGGCCCAGGGAGTAGGATCGCCTCTATATGTCGTTTCGTTATTAACCGATATTTGTGAAATTTGGGAAGAGTATATTAGAAGCAAATTATGATGTTCTACCGTACAATTATGATAAGTGCAATTTCCAGTTTAGCAAAAAATGTCTTTAAATTTTGTTTTTAAATTGGACCCGCCGCATATTTTTACATGTTTATATTTTACGTTATAATGGTGAAATATATATTATATTTTATTAGAAATTTCCCTAAATGCGATCAGTGAACAATGTGATGTATATACAATAAAAACTTCTCTTATTTCAACCCTTATAGGCAACAAATACTTCTGATAAAGAGAGAAAATTATATGGGTAATCCGACTTATATAAAGTTTGGGATCATTTCTTTTTTTGGGATATGGAGAATGCGGAATTAATATTTGCAATGTTGCCAGATTTACCGATTTTCTTATTTTATTAGTCACACTTATTTTTTAAACATATCATCGTGTATATTGTGTCATAATTGGAATCTCCCTTTAATTACAAGTTTAACCCTACGGAATAAGCTCGAGATTTTATGTCTTAAATTAATAAAACAAAAGTCTGGGAATCATTTTAGATAAGAAATTTACAATTTCATTCGCAAAATTTTTTTAAAATACGCCAAATTACTGTCATATTTAGTTAATAATGTAACTGGTCAACTACGGTCAAAATCACAGCATTCTAGATTTGCTTCACCTCATGCACATAAGTTTTGGGTGCCAAATCCAGAGAACTAACTTTTAAAATAATTAGTACTCTGACTACATCAAATGGTAAAACTCGTATTGAATGACAGATTTCTATAATGACACAACATACAGGGTGTAGTTAAAAAATCGAAGTGACTAATCATATCAGAAAAATGGTAAATCTGGAAACATTGTAAATGTCAAATTTCGAATCTCCTTAACCCAAATTTTGTACAATTATAACTACCCATTTAAGAAATAATTGGGCGCTTCCAAACGTTTGTTCCGTTCTGCATAATTATATAATAGTGTGGATAATATTTATACCTAAACGTCTATATTAAAAAAAATCAAGTTAATTTTTCCAAAACGTTTAATATTATATTTATTTGTGTACCAAGGATGTAGAGTGTATGATTTTTGACCGAATCAGAAATTTGCGGCCGAGGCGTAGACGAGGCCAAGCAACTTCTAGTAAGGTCAAAAAGACCATACGGCCGACGTGCACACATTTTTTTATTGATCAACTAAAAATCCGATTTTTCAAACAATTTAATTGAACAAAAAATTTTATCAAATATGTTACAAAAAATTGTGAAGTCTAAAGCAGTCTATAATTAACCAACGATTTATACAGGATTACTAATGAGAAGTATGATGAACAGAACTTGTGTTTATGAAAAGTATTAATATACTCTAGAATTATTTGTCATTAATTGTTGTGTTAAATGTACATTTATTACATTTTTAAAATGTAATTTAACTTAAAGACCATTCTTAACCGCGCGGTGTTTTACTTTCTTGTTTTGCAATAGGAAAAGCTTTTGCTGGAAATTTGTTTAACCGAAGTACGTCTAGTACCAATTCTGCGGAATTATTTTGGACAAGAAGATGAAAACCTGAAATACCTACATGCATTCTATTTGATATTTCATTTTTTCTTTAAATAAATCTTCTATGTAGCCTTTACAGAACTAGACTTACAACCTCCGTGAGTATTTAACATTAAAATATCAGCCCCAGTTTCAACCAAAAGATAGGTTGTGCTTCTTCTAAAAGAATTACCTAAATACTCATTAGTATTTGGTATTTGTAGATACTGTACTGTAAAAGTGTCCGTAAAGTAAGTGGGACCAAAAAATATATTTTTATTTATATAAAATTACTCTTTTTCAAAAAATATATTGTTACCCTCCACCCTGCAGTAGCCTGGAAACGAAACATTCGTGACAGCGGTGGGACACAAAATAGAAGTTCATGGTAAATACTAGATCCACTGAGTACGAAACAGGCAAGGACACTTGTGGTCCCCCAGGATGGTTTTCGAAGATGGAGGATGAAAAGGAAAGGCGAGAAGAGGAGAAAGGAAGACGCAGGAAGGACGAAGAGGAGCAGAAAGGAAAAAGAAGAGGAAAAGGAAAGGAAGGACAAAGAAAAAGGGAAGGTAGAGAGGTGTAAAAAAGCTGAGAGAAATTATGATTGGTTTGCTGCAAATTCAAGAAAATCTTAAGCAAGAGGTAGGTCAGCTAAACAGCCGCAGGCTATTGCAGGGTGCAGGGTAACAATATTTTATGGGTAAGAATTCTTTTAATACAGTATAGTTAATGTTTCTAATTGTAAAACTATGCTTTATAGAATGTCTTTGACTAAACTTCTTCTCGAAAGACCTTTTCCAATATTCTTACTCATACATATACTTAAGTATAATGTCAAATATAAACTAACTACCTATTTTCCCAAAATTCTGTTAAAGGATGGATTCAATAAAAAAAGAATTTTTGAAAAAATCTTGAGATCCATTATTGGTCATAGTATAAAACGTAGTCCATACGCGGGAAATAGCTAGTCCACAATGAAAGCAAAAATGACACCAACCTGTTTGATTACTTATTCATAATGATAAATACATCGGAAACACTCATTCTCATTAATATACATTAATAAGTACTCTGAATAGTTTAACATTTCACACCGCATGAGCTAATGTATCGACTGGACGTGTGTTTATCTCATTTTTGAGATAGCTATAGTTCGAGTTACATAGTATATTTTTCCTACGAAAATCTACAAAGTTTAAAAAAATAATTTAGTAGTTATTACGAAAAAACAACTGCATTAAAGATAAATAACACAAAAACTTGAAATTATGAATTTTACTAATAAAATAAGTCTAAAAAAATTGCCCTCAATCGTGATTTAACCCTAAACCTTAAAATTGAAACGCTTTACTCAAACTTTTGCAATTTTTATGGCTTAAAATGTATAATTTAATTTGTTTCCCCGATCAAGTTAATCAAAATGTAATAATTTTGATTTTGCTACTAAAAATGCAGCACCAGTGACAAAAAATTAACTTGCCTTATCTTTTTAGTGATTAGTCAATACATATTTCGAACTTCTATCAGGGTTAACTAGTTTTCATATCTCACGGATACTTCTCTGAACAAGAACTTCTTTCAGTATTATAATAATAACCACTTGTATAAATGGATATTAGTTGAAATGAATTAATTTTATGCATCTACAGGTTTCACTAAAGATTGGAATCGAGAATGTCCATTTTTTGCTGACGAGTCCTAATAATCACGAAACCGATGGAAGAATTGCTTTGTTAGGAATCAAAATTAAAGCTAGAGGGTTGGAAATTATTTTCTATCTCTACTGTTTCTTTATTTGGGGTCACTATTTAAAAACTTTCTCATGAACTAAAGATGATATCAGAAAATGAAATGCTTAAAAGCGTTTCTGGGGTAGGAAGGGGGAACTTAAATGACAATATACAGAACTCACCCCCATCAACCACCTACTTTAACAAAAAATAACAACCACTTACTTGTCATACATTATTGTAAAGCTAGTAAAAATATAAGTTATACCTTATTCAGGGTGGTTCAATAGTATATAATTTAAATATTTCTAGTCCACTAGCATAAAATAAATTATCATCTTCATGAAATATAGCCATTGCAAGTTTTTAAATAGTCTCATCGTAGATACAATTCAATGCCTGTCGAGGTGTTAGCCAGAAGAGAAATTTATTTTCTGTAGGGAACGGTCACTTGTATATTTTGTGACATTGTCTTTGATATTAAAGCTATATTAAAGGTACTAAATAAAGTTACTTCAATATATCTAGTGTATAATTTTTGTAAATAGTCCTTTTTCATGATATTAACTAGGAATTGAGTTTTTTCAGAATCAACATATATGTACATCAGTCTATCATATATTTTTTGAAGAAAGGTGTACTAAATTATTTACATGGCTTTACACATTTAGTACATCGCTTTTCAAGACCTTTCAAAAAATATTAATCATCGAAATTTATAAAATATCCATTTACAGCTTCGATGATTTCAGTATTCGATGAAAATTTCTTTCCACCCAACCACTTCTTGAGATTTGAAAACAAGAATAAATCAAAAGGAATCAAGTCTGGTGAATGTGGGGCATTTTCAATTAACTAAAATCGTAATTTATGCAGTTTCGCCATCGTAATTGCCATTTTGGTGATACAAGATTTGGCTTATTCGTTCAATCTGTTATTGTCATTCCGTGTTGAAAGTAATCAATAAAAATATTTCCTCGGGAATCCCAAAAGACGGTATCTATCACTTTTCTAGCAGAAGGAATCGTATTGGCCTTTG